TTCTATGAATTTTACACATTTATTTTTTATTTTTTTTTACTTCTTATTTTAGGTTTTCTTCCCATACTAAGAAAAAATGATGAAACATGGACATTCAGTTGACCTTTACTCTTTCACTTATTATTTATATATATATATCCTAATAATTCTTTGTAAGCTTAGTTTCGTATTTATCCTTTTTTTTTCTTTTCAGTTGAGTGTCTTTCCACATTATTTGTTTTCCCTTTCATAGTCACCCACTGTTTTTAAATGCTGCTGTCTACCTGTGAATCTACCTATAGATGCTTGTCTTAATACAGTTTAATATCCTGTCTGTTTTGATATGTTGCATAAAGCAAACATGACGTTGACGTCTTCTCACTGACATCCATCTCTCTTCCCGACTGGTCATACCAACATAGAGTTTCCACATATCTTCAGCTCCCCCTTTCAATGTGCAGTTCTTTCACCTTATCTACACTTCATTTCACTGTAATATGGCCTGATTTATCAGCTACAGATATAGCATATTTATCCATTATGGTAGGATTAGTTGTCGCGTTAAAGGGGTGTAGCTGATTAACCGTTACGGGCCCGGTTGGATTCAGAGTACTGAACCAGTCGGACATTCACCAAAACTGGGGGTCCGTTCGGACATTCACCAAAAACGTAATAACCGCCTGGGGGTCCACTCAGACATTCACCAAAAACGTATTAACCGTCTGGGGGTCTGGTTAGATTCAGAACACTGAACTATCACGGATAACCACCCTCACCCTACTTGCATTAATGAGAGCTATCACAATGCAATCAAGTATGGTTTATTACAGCAACAGATAATCAGGTTCTTTTGGATTGCCGGTGATAGTGACTATCAGCAAAAGCAAGCTAGTATGCACGAAATACACAGGTGTTATAGGTGTTACAGATGTTACAGGTGTTATAGGTGTTGTAGGTGTTACAGATGTTATAGATGTTACAGGTGTGTTAGATGTTACAGGTGCGCAGCCTAGAAATAAACGCGTTAAAAGATTATAAGCAAGTATTCAGATCTCACCCAAAGGCGTCCCAATGGGGGGGGAAGAGAGGCTCAGCCCGTCGACTGATCCCAGGAGTCAGGAGGTCCTAAGGATGTTGTACGTCCTCGGGATGGTATCTCCCCTGACGGTGGTATCTTCCCTAACATGCCCTCTCTCTTGGGCCAATTTATATTATTTTCTGTCTTCTAGGTGGAGCTTGAGTGGCTCTAGTCAAGCATATCTTAGTTATGATTGGTGTAAAGTTTTCCCGTCTCCGTTTAAAGGAATAGGCCCGAGAAATTCAGGGCGTATGCTCAGTGAGGTGTGGTCGCACCTTGGAGGCGGGTAGCTTTTGGGATGGAGGTGTGTTTTGGTATTATAATGATATTATAATGAGCAAAAAGTACACTAGGGTACGGCATTTGTCAAAACATGACAGGTCTTTGGCTTAGGGTGGCAAAAAGTGCAGCTTTGTGCACAAGAACAATCGAGGCCCCACCTGATTACAGAGCCTAACCGTGGTGTCTCCACTCCACTCTACGCTCGGTGGTGTTCCTTAGAGCTAGCACACCAAGTTTCCCCAGCGCGATAGCATCTAAGGTTGGGAGCCTAGGGAACGCTCAGATAATGCAGTTATGCCCTACCCTGAAAGCCTCTTCAATGCTGTACCTTTTCCTTAAAAGTGTGAATGTTAGTTTTATTTTCCTAGTTACTTCAGGCATTTACACCACATTAGTTATGCTTGTATTTTAGGCTAGACATGATAGATATTTTCCACTGTCTAGTTTTTCCTAGCCATAGTGACAAGCATTTAATATAATGGGGAAAAAATGATAGTCTTGCAGTTAAGACCCTCATTGAGACTCAAGAGCTGAAATCATATTCCATTAGGCATCTATACAGTAAGCAACAAAATGACATCTGTCGGTGCTGTAAGACAACAACAGAAACAAGCAATGCATAATCAAAGCAATTATCCAGCAGAAACAGAGGTCAGCATTATTACAAGTGTTGAAGGCTATTCACACAGAAGTAATAATTTGGGAACTACTGAGAGCCAAATCTCATTTCTTAGGTACCTATTATTTTCTGTTAACTGAAGAGGGTTCCACGTTCCTAAAATTACACAGTGTTTGCAACCCTTCTTGTTGCAAAATATCCTAAATTAATTCATAGCTGGAACAAGTTCATGTGTGAGCTTCCACTGCTGCAAAAACATCCATCACCCTCTCTGTAACAATTATTACATTACCAGCTGGCCAAAGGTTCTCTGAAAAGTGAGAGCAAATGAAAGCTAAGCAGCACAGGCTAAATACTGTAAATGTCAGAATAATAGAAAACATCAGAAAGGCATTGCCTGATCATGTGAATGCACATCCATTCTGTAGTTGAAATGCCAGTCCCCAGCAGCAAAGAGTGCAGCAATTTTATAGCAGTGCAGCAGCAGGTGGTGCTCCAGCAGCCCCTTTCCCAGAGCACCAGAGCACACATTGAGGAGCACTCTTTTCCAGTAGTAGCCCTCAGTGGTTACTTCTCTACATCCCTGTACTGTCCCAACAGGTGTTATTCTTTAAATGAAAAGAGGATAGATTTAGGTTAGATGTTAGGAATAAATTCTTTACTCAGGCGGTGGTGAGGCACTGGCACAGGTTGCCCACAGAAGCTGTGGATGCTCCATCCGTGTAGGTGGTCAAGGCCAGGCTGGAGGGGGCTTTGGGCAACCTGGTCTGGTGGGAGGTGTCCCTGCCCATGGCAGGGGGATGGAACCAGGTGATGTTTAAGCTTTCTTTTAACCCCAACCATTACATGGTTCTGTGATTCTTGACAGCGTATCATGTTCAAGATATTGAGCAAGCCATGATAAATTTGTATTTCTATTTAGTATTTTGTAAAATGTATATTCCTAAAATTCTAGTTGCATTTACAGTGAAAATTAAAATACATTGAATTGATAGTCTCATACAGAATTATTTCTTCCACCCAAATGGAGAACCGTTCTCCTGCAAAAGCATAGCTATGTGCAAGCAAATTTCTCACTTTCAGGGAGCATGTATGATTGTGTTAGCATCATTTGCACCTTGCATAGCATCCTCCTGCAGGTCAGAAAGTTCATTGTGAGTAGCAATAGATTGCATTTTGGGTATCCGAGATGCTCCCAAAACTTTGTGGTTGCTTTATGGTAACTGCATATGTCTATATATCTGAGCTTTTACTGCACAGATATTGAGTTAAAAAAAATAAAACATGTAATGAAATCATTTGCATGAGTGGTAGAAATTCCCAGGAAATATTAAAAAAAAAAAATCCTACTGAACTTCATAAATAGCTTAGAGTAGATGAGTCAATCTGATGTACAGAAGAGAGATGTTTCCAATTCGAGAAAAAATCCCATTTAAGGAATTTAATGTAATTTAGGAAACTATGATATGCTTTGATCATCCCTTATTGAACTTGTTACAGAGAGAAAACATGTTATCTTTCAGCAGCTTGCTGAAAGTGGGCCCATTTCTACTTTCATGGCAGTGGGGCAGGGGTGGTTCTGCTCTGGGAAGGAAGAGGAGGGAGGGAAGTTGGAATAGGGATGAGGAAAGGCAAAAATAAAGGACTTTGTTCCTGCTGGACATGCAGCCAGGCAGAGTTTGCAAATGCACTCTTGTTTCTATACACTATGAGCTATTGTGCTATGAACAAGCATACTACAATACCAAGTGATTCAGGTTCTGGACACTGGTGGACATTTTGCTGCTGGAAAGTTGTAAAATTAGTCACTTGTTCAGCTGCAAGAACAACAGCATTAAAATGTTTCATCTTATAAAAACTAGTAGCAAACTAAAATACTAAAAACTGTGCCTGTCCTTCAATTCAAGCTGAACTTCCAGAGCTTGAACTTGAAGACGGTGACAGGATTTGCCTTTTTCTATACAGTTTCCAGAAGGACAAGATATAATTCTTTCCTCAGATGGCACAAATATGGAACTAAACTGTCATATTGGCTTCAGATCATCTAGGTCAATTTCATCTTTAGGGAGCATATTCTTCACTGATGAAGAAGAACAAAACAGGCAAGGAAGAAGAGGAGGTGAAGTGGGAATTTACAGAAAGAGCGTAAGCTATGGCTTTGCTCCTCTGTGACTTCAAGGCTGTTTTTGTTAGTGGCAAGGAAACTCTTGCATGCCTAGTGTGAGGAATGTGTTAACAATTCGTGTCCATAAAGAACAATTCTGTTTGAATCCTGTCTGCCTCTGGGCCCTGCACTGGCATTTTAATTCTTGAACCACAGATGCAGTGTGTCCCAGTCTCCCCCTCATTCTAGTCAATTTATCACGTCTTCAGAAAACACTCCTTAAATTTATGAACCTGTTTGCTTTTGTTATTCCGGACTTCTGTTTCTAACAGTTACAGCCTTTTTTCCTGTCTTCTTCGAGATTAACTTAACACTGCTATAGATGTGTCTGTGAATGGCTGGGGAAGAATGTTTTAATTACTCGTGAAGCGTCAAATAAGAAAGCTGTTTGTGTTTGATGTCTGGGAGTTTCAGAACAACTGATAACAACTAGTGACTGTTATGGGATACTATGAGGATCCTTGGTATCTGGCCAGGGGGCCAAGAGATTAAGAGGAAGAAAAAAGAAGCTGAAGGACGGTTGGGAGACAAGACCTGCAGAAAGTGTTCCATAAACTTGGAATGGTGCCAAGTGAGTACAAAGGGGGAGAGGAAGACTACGAGCCTTCAGCATGAAAGACCCCTAGAGACCCCCAGAGGAGACTGATGCGCATGCTCCAGTAGGAGGGACTGGACCCCAGAAGCTAATTATAATAATCTATTTTTTTAGAAGTAGTAATGAATATGTATTAGTCTAGGAGCATAAAAATCAGCTGCTTGATGTAACTGGTGCGTCCTGGTGGAGCGCAGACTCCCGGTGCACCCAGCACTGTTTGCTTACCTCTATTCCTTTATATTCTTTTAATAAATCCTATTTTTTATTTAATCCTAATTTGAATCCTGAGCCATTTATAACACTAGGCAGAACAAAAAATGGCCAGGGATACAGATATTCTTAAAGAACAAGATAGGTGTATGGACTAGAATGTACTAACAACCCTGTATTTTGGGGCAGGAAGAATCAGGAACTAGCCCACTCCTTTTGCTACAATATTGGAATCTGCTGAGGTAAAGGTACATCCAGGTGCATTCTCAATACTTATAGCTCTTGTATAGTTTGCAGCTGAACACATCAAATTAGAGCTAATGAAGAAATTACTGTCCTCAGTAGGACTGGACTGTGAAAGCCTGATGTATATTTTACTTTAACTGGAGTAGAAGATTCAAAACGCTATGACTAGTGTCTTCCCAAACCCTGTGTTACCCACAGAGAGAAGCATATGCAGAAGGTGCTATTGAAATTAGTCTTAAAAAAAAAAAAAGCATTACTTTCAACAAGCAACAAAAAATAACCAAGTAAAGCTAGATGGTCTCTTGGCTCCACCCTTGTGAAGTGAAACCTGCCAGGTGTGGATCATTTGACTTTTGCTATATAGGAAGCCTGAGGACTTGTGGGGAATTGCCTTCCTGGTGGGGAGTTGGAGGCTCAGGTTCTCTAGGGTGCTTTTCTGCTGTTGTGGTGAAGCGGATTCAGTGTTCCCTGGTGGGCTGCTTTTTCTTCACGTTTTCTCCCATCTCTGTGAAATAGTTTCAGTGACTCTATGAGTTAGCTATGTTGTTGTTGCCCTCTCAGTGTGGTGAGACCCTGGTGGTGCAAAGTCACTGTGAAGCAGTGTGGAAGTGACTCAAGTTCAGGAGCTGGCAGGTAAGTGTTCCTGGGTTCTACAGTTCTTTAATGTCGAGGAGTTTGAGTACATCCTTCACCTTGTCTGTTTTCAGTGAAATTACTTCCGTGGCTTCTAAGCTCCCTTTCAAGCTCTTCCAAATACAATGATAATGAAAGCGAAGAAGAAAGCCCCACCAACTCAGAAGCTCAAGTGCTTACAGGTAAGCCTGACTTTGGAGAATGTTCTTAACTATTTGTTAGGATTCGACAACAGGCACTGTGGAAAAAGGTGCCTTAATGTGCACTCAAATTATGCCTTGCGGTGAGTAGAAACCGATGGGGAAGGTACTGGTGCAGTTAGCTCATAACTTTCACTAAGTGGAAGTTGCGAGACTGTGCTGTTCCTAAAAGAAATGCCGCTTTCACAACATGTAAGTCAAAAGAAGTATGAAGAAAGCCTCTCCTCTCCCCTACAGGCCTGCGTCTCGGCTGTGGAGAAAGATTTGGAAGATCGCGCTGAGGGTCACATCGCTGAGGTTCCTGCGCCGAGGTGTCGTGGTTTAACCCGGCCGGCAGCTAAACACCACGCAGCCGTTCGCTCAGCCTCCCCCCTCCCTCTCTGGGACGGGGGAGAGAAATGGAAAGTGAAGCCCGTGAGTTGAGATAAAGACAGTTTAATAAGACAGGAAAATAATAATAAAAAAATAATAATAACAATAATAATAATAATACAATGGTGATAATAGGAAAGTAATAATCATATGTACAAACAAGTGATGCACAATGCAATTGCTCACCACTCGCTGACCGATGCCCAGCCTAACCCCGAGCAGTCCGGCCCCCTCCCCCCGGCTAGCCACCCCTATATATTGTTTAGCATGACGTCAGATGGTATGGAATACCCCTTTGGCTAGTTTGGGTCACCTGTCCTGGGTCTGTCCCCTCCCAGCTCTTACTGCACCCCCAGCCTGCCCGTTGCAGGACAGAGCAAAAGGCTGAGATGTCCTTGGCTTAGTATAAGCACTGCTCTGCAACAATTAAAGCATCGGGGTGTTATCAGCACTCTTCTCATCCTAAGCCAAAACACAGCATTCCACCAGCTACTAGGAAGAAAATTAATTCTGTGCTAACTGAAACCAGGACACGATGTCACATTGCGGAGGTTCCCGCGCTGAGGTTCCGGAGCTGAGGTCACATCGCTGAGGTTCCCGTGCTGAGGTTTCCACGTTGAGGTTCCCGCAGGGCAGTAACATCACTGAGGTCACATCGCTGTGTTTCCCGAGCTGAGGTTCCCACGCTGAGGTAACATCGCTGAGGTTCCCGCTGTGAGGTCACACTCTTGAGGTTCCTACGCTGAGGTTCCCGCGCTGAGGTCGCAGCGCTGAGGTTCCCGCGCTGAGGTCGCAGCGCTGAGGTTCCCGCGCCGAGGTCGCAGCGCCGAGGTCGCAGCGCCGAGGCTCCAACGCAGAAGTTCCCTCGCTGAGGTCTCAGCGCTGAGGTTCCCTCGCTGAGGTCTCAGCGCTGAGGTTCCCTCGCTGAGGTCTCAGCGCTGAGGTTCCCGCGCTGAGGTCTCAGCGCTGAGGTTCCCGCGCTGAGGTCTCAGCGCTGAGGTTCCCGCGCTGAGGTCTCAGCGCTGAGGTTCCGCGCTGAGGTCTCAGCGCTGAGGTTCCCGCGCTGAGGTTCCCGCGCTGAGGTCTCAGCGCTGAGGTTCCCGCGCTGAGGTTCCCTCGCTGAGGTCGCAGCGCTGAGGTTCCCGCGCTGGGGTCGCAGCGCCGAGGTCGCAGCGCCGAGGTTCCCGCGCCGAGGTCGCAGCGCCGAGGTTCCCGCGCCGAGGTCGCAGCGCCGAGGTTCCCGCGCCGAGGTCGCAGCGCCGAGGTTCCCGCGCCGAGGTCGCAGCGCCGAGGTTCCCGCGCCGAGGTCGCAGCGCCGAGGTCGCAGCGCCGAGGTTCCCGCGCCGAGGTCGCAGCGCCGAGGTTCCCGCGCCGAGGTCGCAGCGCCGAGGTTCCCGCGCCGAGGTCGCAGCGCCGAGGTTCCCGCGCCGAGGTCGCAGCGCCGAGGTCGCAGCGCCGAGGTTCCCGCGCCGAGGTCAGCGCCGAGGTTCCCGCGCCGAGGTCGCAGCGCCGAGGCTCCCACGCAGAAGTTCCCGCGATGAGGTTCCCGCGCTGAGGTCGCGGCGCTGAGGTTCCCGCGCTGAGGTCGCGGCGCTGAGGTTCCCGCGCTGAGGTCGCGGCGCTGAGGTTCCCGCGCTGAGGTCGCGGCGCTGAGGTTCCCGCGCTGAGGTCGCGGCGCTGAGGTTCCCGCGCTGAGGTCGCGGCGCTGAGGTTCCCGCGCTGAGGTCGCGGCGCTGAGGTTCCCGCGCTGAGGTCGCGGCGCTGAGGTTCCCGCGCTGAGGTCGCGGCGCTGAGGTTCCCGCGCTGAGGTCGCGGCGCTGAGGTTCCCGCGCTGAGGTCGCGGCGCTGAGGTTCCCGCGCTGAGGTCGCGGCGCTGAGGTTCCCGCGCTGAGGTTCCCGCGACGAGGTCGCAGCGCCGAGGTTCCCGCGACGAGGTCGCACGCCGAGGTTCCCGCGACGAGGTCGCAGCGCCGAGGTTCCCGCGACGAGGTCGCAGCGCCGAGGTTCCCGCGACGAGGTCGCAGCGCCGAGGTTCCCGCGACGAGGTCGCAGCGCCGAGGTTCCCGCGACGAGGTCGCAGCGCCGAGGTTCCCGCGACGAGGTCGCAGCGCCGAGGTTCCCGCGCCGAGGTCGCAGCGCCGAGGTTCCCGCGCCGAGGTTGCAGCGCCGAGGTCGCAGCGCCGAGGTTCCCACGCAGAAGTTCCAGTGCTGAGGTCACAGTGCTGAGGTCGCAGTGCTGAGGTTCGCACGCAGAAGTTCCAGTGCTGAGGTCACAGTGCTGAGGTCACAGTGCTGAGGTTCCCACGCAGAAGTTCCAGCGCTGAGGTCGCAGCGCTGAGGTTCGCACGCTGAGGTCACAGTGCTGAGGTCACAGTGCTGAGGTCACAGTGCTGAGGTCACAGTGCTGAGGTCACAGTGCTGAGGTCACATCGCTGAGGTTCCCGCGTTCAGGTCACATCGCTTAGGTGACATCGCTGAGGTTCCCGTGCTGAGATCACATGGCTGAGGTTCCTGCGCTGAGGTCACATCGCTGAGGTTCCAGCGTTGAGATCACAGCGCTTATGTGACATCGCTGTGTTTCCCGCGCTGAGGTTCACTTGCTGAGGTCACAACGCTGAGGTCACAGCGCTGTGGTTCCCGCGCTGTGGTCACAGCGCTGAGGTTCCCACGATGAGGTTCTGGCGCTGAGTTTCCCGCGCTGAGGTCACAACGCTGAGTTTCCCGCGCTGAGGGAACAACGCTGAGGTTCCCGTGCTGAGTTCACATTGTTTAGGTTCCCGCGCTGAGGTCAGAGAGCTGAGGTTCCCGCGCAGGGGTTCCCACGCTGTGGTCACGTCGCTGATGTTCCCGCGCTGAGGTCACATCGCTGAGCTTCCCGCTGTGAGGTCACACTGTTGAGGTTCTTACGCTGAGGTTCCCACGCTGATGTGACACTGCTGAGGTTCCCACGCTGAGGTTCCCGCGCTGAGGTCACATTGTTTAGGATCCCGCGCTGACGTCACATTGCTGAGGTTCCTGCGCTGAGGTCACACGGCTGAGGTTCCCACGCTGAGTTTCCCACGCTGATGTCACATTGTTTAGGTTCCCACGCTTTGGTCACATCGCTGAGATTCCCGCACTGAGGTCACATCGCTGAGGTTCCTGCGCTGAGGTTCCCGCGCTTTGGTCACATCGCTGAGGTTCCCGCACTGAGTTCACAGCGCTGAGGTTCCCGCGCTGAGGTTCCCACGCTTTGGTCACATCGCTGAGGTTCCCGCGCTGCGGTCACATCGCTGAGGTCACATCGCTGAGGTTCCCGCTGTAAGGTCACACTGCTGAGGTTCCCGCGCTGAGGTTACATTGTTTAGGTTCCCGCGCTGAGGTCACGGAGCTGAGGTTCCCGCGCTGAGGTTCCTGCGCTGAGGTCACATCACTGATGTTCCCGCGCTTCGGTCAGATTGCTGAGGTTCCCACGGTGAAGTCACATCGCTGAGGTTCCCGCTCTGCGGTTCCTGCGCTGAGGTCACATCACTGAGTTTCCGCGCTGAGGTCACATCGTTGAGGTCACATTGCTGAGGTTCCCGCTGTGAGGTCACACTGTTGAGGTTCCTACGCTGAGGTTCCCGCGATGAGGTCGCATCGCTGAGATTCATGCGCTGAGGTTCCCGCGCTGATATCACATCGCTGATGTTCCCGCGCTGAGGTTCCCGCGCTGAGGTCACAACGCTGAGGTTCCCGCGCTGAGGTCACAACGCTGAGGTTCCCGCACTGAGGTCACATAGCTTCGGTGACATCGCTGAGTTTCCCGCGCTGAGCTCGCATCACTGAGGTTCCCACGCTTTGGTCACGTCGCTGAGGTTCCCGCTGTGAGAACACACTTTTGAGGTTCCTACGCTGAGGTTCCCGCGCTGACGTGACACTACTGAGGTTCCCGCGCTGAGGTCACACGCTGATGTCACATTGTTTAGGTTCCCGCGCTGAGGTCACAGAGCTGAGGTTCCCGCGCTGAGGTCACATTGCTTAGGTGACATCGCTGAGGTTCCCACGCTGAGGTCACATCGCTGAGGTTCCCGTGCTGAGGTGCCCACGCTGCGGTCACATCACTGAGGTTCCTGCTGTGAGGTCACACTGCTGAGTTTCCCACGCTGAGATTCCCGCGCTGAGGTCAGAACGCTGAGGTTCCCGCGCTGAGGTCACAGCGCTGAGGTTCTCGCGCTGCGGTCACATCACTGAGGTCACATCGCTGAGGTTCACGCGCTGAGGTCACATCGCTGAAGTTCCCGTGCTGAGGTGCCCACGCTGAGGTCACATCGATTAGGTGACATCGCTGAGCTTCCCGCGCTGAGGTTCCCGCGCTGAGGTCACATCGCTGAGGTTCCCGCTCTGATGTTCCCGCGCTGAGGTCACATAGCTGAGGTCGCAGAGCTTAGGTTCCCGCGTTGAGGTTCCCGTGCTGAGGTCACATCGCTGAGGTTCCCACGCTTTGGTCACGTCGCTGAGGTTCCTGCGCTGAGGTCACATCGTTGAGGTCACATTGCTGAGGTTCCCGCTGTGAGGTCACACTGTTGAGGTTCCTACGCTGAGGTTCCCGCGCTGAGGTCACATCGCTGAGATTCCTGCGCTGAGGTTCCCGTGCTGATATCACAACGCTGAGGTTCCCGCGCTGAGCTAACAGCGCTGAGGTTCCCCGGCCGAGGTTTCCGCGCTTAGGTGACATCCCTGAGGTTCCGGCACTGAGGTCACATCACTGAGGTTCCCACTGTGAGGTCACACTGTTGAGGTTCCTACACTGAGGTTCCCACGCTGACGTGACACTGCTGAGGTTCCCGCGCTGAGGTTCCCACGCTGAGGTACATCGCTGAGGTTCCCGCGCTGAGGTGCCCGCGCTGGGGTCCCATCGCTTAGGTGACATCGCTGAGGTTCCCGCACTGAGGTCACATCGCTGAGATTCCTGCACTGAGGTTCCCGCACTGAGGTCACATCGCTGAGATTCCTGCACTGAGGTTCCCGTGCTAATATCACATCGCTGATGTTCCCATGCTGAGGTTCCCG